AGACTGACATTAAACAATTTATATTTTATAGGATGAAGAGAGTGGACATGATATGACAACATCACAAGGAGGATCTTCGTTAGGTAGTAATTTTCATGGAGTTTGACTTTTTTTTTGTTAGACATGATAAACTCATGAATTTGAACTTATGTTTTTACATTTGAAACAAGATTAATTTTGGGATAATTCACATATTTTTCTTTTGAGCATTGATCATGAATTGTGTTTTTTTTAGTTACTTAATAGGATGGATATGTTTTAGAGTTGATCATTAGTGGAAACTTAGGATTTTACGTCACCTCTTTAACGTCGAAAATACGAAAATCCGACGTAAAAAAGACGCGATGGAATTTTTGTAATTTTTGCGAACTTTTTTACGTCGGACCTGGTTTGGTCTGATGCAAAAAGTCAAATCTACGTCGGATGTATGTTGTGTCAGACGTAGATTTGACATTTTATGTCGGACCTTACCAGGTCTGACGTAAAAAAGGACGCGAAATTTGAATAAGAGAGTGCGAGGCACACCGCGCGCATTCACTGTTCATCACTTTTCATTTTTTTCTCTGTAAACCCTCTCCCTCTCCTTTGTTACTGAATCATTTTTTTTGTCTTTTCCAGAGGGGTGAACTCTTTGTTACTCATTCGCACACTGTTGCAGCTCATCAGGTATGAATCAAGGTTTCGTTAACACTTTTTTACTTCGCATTGTTATTGTGGCTATCTGTTCTATTCGATTTTTTGGTTGTTCTATTTGTATAGGTTGTTGGCCTTTTCTTTTGCGTTGTTCTACGAAGCAGAACGGCCTGTTCTGCTTGCATAACGACCCGTTTTGCTTGCTTAACGACCCGTTCTGCTTGCATTCTTATGTTTTTTTTTTGTTTTTTTACTACTTCTTTACGTCAGATTTTTGGAATGTCCGACGTAAATTTACGTCGGTTTTACAGGACCGACGTAAATTTACGTCTTCCGCGTCTACGTCGGTATTTTTTTTGACGTAAAAAACTCAAAATATCCGACGTAAAATACCTCTTTTGTACTAGTGGATGAATGTTAATGTCTTCATAATGAGAAATATGTGTCATGCTAGACCTATGGCTAGATATTGTCTTAATTTTTTTTTTTATAATATTGAAAGTTAATTCAATGTATCTTTATATAATTATATTTGAACAAGAAGCTTAGAAAATACATAAATATTATCAAAATTATAGGTAGAATTTAGTAAAATAAGTGATCTTAGAATCAGATAAGTTTTTACTTAAGAGTTACTTGGATTAAAAAATAATATAATATGGTGACTTTTAATTTCAAATGATTAATATAATTTATGACAATTTTAAATAATAATTTAATAAATATCTAAAATATATAGACTATTATTTATCAGTTTATAATAAGGACAAGCTTTTAAAAATAATTGCAAGTATATATTTAAAACAAGCAATAGTTTTAAAGTATAATTAATGTAAATTAAAGAACATTTTTGATAGTTTAAAACTGTAAAAAAATGTGAGGTAAGTAAAAAAAAAATGTATTTTTTTTGGTGACTTAAAACCATTAGAGAATATGAAGTAAGTCAAACAAGGATACATTTTTGACGGTTTAAAACTATCAAAAATGTGAAGCAAAGAAGCATTTTGTGATGGTTTAAAATAATCAAAAACGTTAAATCAAGTAAAATTCAAATGCATTTTATGACAATTTATAACTATCACAAAGTGATTAAATTTTTTGATGCGATTTGTAACGATTTTTAGTCACAAAAAATTACAAAAATAATCGTTACAAATGTTATATTGTTTTTTAAGTAACTACGACCTAGTCCATCGTTTATTTGGAAGTTAATTATAAGTTCAAAATTTATATTTATATTGATATTATGGGTAAACAACTCAATGCTAATGTTGAGGATTTGATCTTAAAGACCCAACATTAAATTTCTCCTTTATCAAAAGAATGAAGGTTTTTATTTTTAAACCCACGGGAGATTATCGCTAACTATGCAACACACATTGAAAGACACACAGGAAAAAAAAATAAAATAAAACGAAAGTTGATTTTTCAAATTAATTGAGAAAGAAGTAGACACTCTACAGTGAGTGAAAATTGAATGGTCTGGAATTAATACAATAAACAACGCCTGATTATTTAATCTCGGGAAAATTATACATTATTCAACTTATTTGTGTATGTATGGTGACTTCAATTGCTTGGAATAACATCCAACAATTAAAAAAAAGGTTAATAATCGAAACCACAACAGACAACAACTTTAAAGCACAATGATGTTAATCATCTGCTGGCAAAAGGAGTATAAAATGCCAAATGAAAGTGAACTAAGAGATTGGGGAGAGTCCTACAATGCAACCAATATAAAACCAAATTAAAGTGAAGGAGAAAATATCGATGATCCCGGGATCAAACACAGCAATTAAAAAAAAGTGCATGTAAAATATAAATATAACTGATCTAGCAGTTATAGTCTCGATGTTCTTAATAATTATATTAAATATATAAAGTTTTATATAATTTTCCACAATTTATCAAATTATTTTATTTTAATTTTTAACATATAATATTCAAATTATTTATGAAGTAGTTTGATCCCTCCATACCTCACACATATATATTGAGTAAAAAAATTATTCTATTTTGTCTCTTTATATTTTCTTGAGGGTTTTCAAGAAGAAATGATTGTAAAGAATATATATATATATATATATATATATATATATAT